ACAGATTAAATGCTGAAGAAGTGAACTAAATATGTTATTACCCCATCTTATAAATGAAGAAACTGAGGCACAAGGAAGCTAAGAAGCTTGCCCCAGGACACACACTTATAAAGCCTCAGAGACTTAAACCTAGGCCAGCTTAACACAGAATCCACGCTTAGTCCCACAGCTTGAGGCTCCCCAGGGCACTGCCTCCCATGGAACTCAGCCGTCCCACGTGCTGGAAGACAAGGAGCGCTGAGGGGCACTGGGACAGAGGGCAGTTTCAGGATGAGGAGCTCCGACCCTGACCGGGGGCTGCTTTTCCCAGCAGGATGCTGCCAGAGCAGGAAAGAGAAAGTGAAAAACCCAAGCTCTGGGTCAGGATCTGGACTGCTGGCTGGGCCCCTCACTTCTGGGCTGCCAGGGCCTGCCAAGCAGGGGAGGTGCCCCGTCTGCCTGTGGCCGGGCAAGCTGTGCACACAGGGCTGTCCCACCTGCCCTGGGCTCAGAAGTCATTCCGCTTTGCACTTGGCATGCATCACTGCTCTGTGAGGTACAAAACCCCCAGAGCCCATTTCATAGATGGGGCACGTGAGGCCCAAAGAGGACAAGTTGCTTGTCCAAGGTCACACAGCTGGGAAGCTGCAGACCTGGAGTCTGGACCTGGTTTGGTCTCACTGTGGAGTCTGTGCTCCCAAGGGCTTCCACGATGCCTGGCTTCCCAAAAGCCCAGGGCCCAGCCCTCCAGGGAGAAGGGCGCAGGAGCAGATGCCTGTCAATCAGCACATTTCTTTTTCCTTCCTGGCATTTGGATTGGGTTTCGTTTTGACCTCTGGACTTCAGAAAATGAAACCAAAGCTGTATAACTGTCACTACTGGCGGTGAGGGCCTGACTCACCCTAGGTTTCACAACAAGGACCTGGTCACGGTGGGAGAGGCGGCCAGGCCCATCGTACAGGTGAGGTAACTAAGGCTCAGAGGGGCCCAAAGCCACAAAGGGCCCAAAGGTCTCCCTCCTCCCCAGGCCAGCTCAGGATACAGATGGAGCACTGATTCCTTGGGCATCGACTGCTCTTCTGGAGACAGAGCAAGGTGGCAGACCATGCGGAATGGGGAGAAAGGGGCATTCCAGCACAGTAGACAACGGTGAAGACTTATTCTGGGTATGACTCCTACCTTTGCCCCTTCTGATCTATGTGCTTCTGGGGGGTCGGGGACATCCTCAGTTTCCCTATCTGTAAAATGGGTAGATTGGATTGCTGCGCCAATCCAATGTTCTAACGACTATAAAGCATTCAGTACACAGTCAGTTTAAGCCAATGCATCCCAAACAAACAAACAAACCCTTTGCTGTTGAGTCAATTCCGACTCATAGTGACCCTATAGGTCAGAGCAGAACTGCCCCATAGGGTTTCCAAGGAGTGGCTGGTAGATTTGAACTGCCAACTTTTTGGTTAGTAGCCTGAGCTTTTAACCACTGCGCCACGAGGGCTCCTATGTATCACAGGGTCATTAAATGAAGAAAGGAAGGAAGAGGGTAGGTAGGAGCGTGGCAGCAAGGGGGAGGCCTAGAGAGGGAGGTTCCAGTGTGGGGGCAGGGGGGATGGCTCTCCCAAGCAGCCCTGTAGGCCGCCAATGGGGGTGGGGTGCACAAGGGCCATCAGTTATTTATAGGACTTTCCTCTGCCCAGAGGCCTGCCAAGGAGACATGTTGGCTGGAGGACAAGTTATGCAGGAGCCAGTCCAGCCCAGCTGCCTCGTCTGGGCCTGGACCATCCACCCCAGCTTGAGAGAGGAGGGGTGCTGCTCCCAGCCACCCCGCCAACATCTAGAAACTCTCCTCTTTCTCCTCTGCCATGCCTTCTCTGGCCTGTGCTCCTTCTAAAACGGACACAAGGGATGCAGCCACGTGTCGGGGCAGCAGTCAGCTGCCACACCTGCAGGTACTCACAGATGAGAACAGCAATAGCAACAGCAGCAGACACCTAATGAACGCTCACTGGGCCCCGAGGACTATTCTAAGCACTGGACCGATAAACACTCATATAATCCCATGACGTTAGGAGGGAGGCACTATTATTATCCTCATTTCACAGATGAAGAAACTGAGGCAAGAGAGGCTAATTACATGCCCAAGGCCACATGGCTAGAAAGTTGCAGAGCTGGAATTAGAACCCAGGTAGTCTAGCTTCAAAATCCAGCTTTTAATCACTATGTTATATTTTATACATCTTCACACACGCACGCACACACAGACTAACTCACAGCCACACCTGCGCAGGCACACTCAGACACCCCAGGCCACCTTCAGAGGCCCATCCTGACACACTCACACATAAACCCTAACCCTACCTTTCCTCTCCTGCCTTCACCACTTAACGCGTGCTCTTTCTCAGTAGGCCACAGATTCCCCAGATGATGTTATCTTTCTTGTCCCTCTAGGGGTCCCCAGCAGGTGCTCAATCAACACCTCTGGAATGACCACCCCTGGCATGGCTCTGCACCTCCCCACAGCCATCCCCCCACCCCGCACACACATGCACACACACGACCGAGGACAGCCGACCCCTGACTACCACTAGCCCCTGCCACAAAGGAATTCATGGACCCAATGGGGCCCTAAGCCAGGCTGGTTCTGGGCCACCCTCTTGCCTGGGGAAACTGAGGCACTCTGGGACCACGAAGGGAAACCCACAGGCAGGAAAGGATCTGGGATCAAGGTTTCCCGGAGAGAAGGCAGCTGCTGCTCAGAAAGGTCTGTAGAGGGCAGTGTGTGCCAGCGCCAGGCCAACCAGGAGCCCCAAGCCTGGTGCGTCTTCTGTGACCCCACCGCACTCCGGGCCTCTCCACCCGGCAAGCCCCAATTCTCATTTGTTTTCTTTCTTTCTTGCAAAAATCCATCAACCAGGCGCCTACTCCATGGCCCAAGCCCCAGTGCGGGAGCTCCCGTCCCCTGCTCCTGCTCAACAGACAAGATCACACACAAACGTACACATGACAGCCTTGATAAGCGACTTACAAACGGTGGGGGAGGAGCGCAGGACGAGCACAAATCCCGGGGAGGCGAGGCTTCTCAGCCAGCGGTTACCAAGCCCCCACCATTCCAAGAGGGGCGGCGGAGCGGGGAAGGAGCAGATGCTCCATCGAGAAGCAGGAGTGGAATGGAGAAGGTGGCCAGCGTGGCCTTGGACTCTAGGCTATTTGTGGTGGGAGGAGGTAGGGTTCAGAATGGCTAGAAAGCTCGAAGTCAGTTTACGGAATCATCACATCTGAGAATGAACCTTTTTTTTTTTTTTTCAATAGACTACAAAGCCTTGCAGTATGTTTGGGGCTTCCCAGCTGATCCTCTACCCAAAATAAAAATGGGGCCAGTGTTAGCTGGGTCACAACGCCCAGTCTCAGCCACAGCAATCACAGCGCCTCCGCCGGCTTCAGTATATTCAGCTGCCGCGTAGTGAGAGCGCAGGGAGCGCAGGCCGAGGCTGCGGTGGACCCGGCCCCGCCCGGTTTCCGAGGAACTCGCGCCTGCCGCCAAAGTGTTCCTCCAAAGCCTGTGGTCAGGCCGCCGCTTCCTGGGAAGCCCAAACCAAGACTGGCGCGGCAGCTGGCCGGGAGGGGTGCAGCCGCCCGAGGCTCCGGGACTGGGGCGAAGGCGGGGCAGTCCAGAGAAGCCCGGGGCCGCAGCCCACGAGGGACTGAGGTGGGGATCCTTCAGGCCATAGGGTCTTTGGAGGGGACCTAGGGGTCAGCTACCAGGGTCGGGGACACTCCCGGGGCTTCCCAGAAGGATCTGGCTGGCGGGGAATAGAGGGAAGGGATCTGCCAGGATGGGAACTAAGACACCTGCAGGGGGTAGAGAGGAGTCTCAGGGTCAGTCCAGAGCATCCTAGGGCCGCTGGCTCTAGACGTCTGGGACGGGGGTCGTGGGGGTTGTCAGGTGTTGTTAGTTCCAACTCATAGCGATCCCATGTACACCAGGACAAAACAGTGCCCAGTCCTGTGCCATCCTCACAATCGTTGCCACTGTGTCAATCCATCTCACTGAGGATCTTCCTCTATTTTGCTGACCCTCTACTCTACCAAACCTGATATCCTTCCCCAGGGACCGGTCCCTCCTGATAACGCGTCCAAAGTAAGTGAAACAAGTCCCGCCATCCGAGCTTCTAAGGAGCATTCCGGCTGTACTTCTTCCAAGACAGATTTGTTCGTTCTTCTGGCAGTCCACGGTATATTCAATATTCTTTGCCAACACCGTAATTCAAAGGCGTCAATTCTTCTACGGTCTTCCGTATTCACTGTCCAGCTTTCACATGCATATGAGGCGATTGATAATACCATGGCTTAAGCCAGGTGCACCTTAGTCCTCAAGGTGATATCTTTGCTTTTTAACGCTTTAAACGGGTAGTGGGGGCAAAAGTAGGTGCGCCAGGTCTGAAGGCGGCGGCCCAGAAGTGGCTGAAGGCTCAGGGACGGGCCACAGATCCGCAGTGGAGGAGTCCTAGCCCAGGTGCAAGGCTAGGCCGGATTTGCGGGGCAGCCGAGGCTCTGCTCGGAAGGCTCCGGCGTGTTCGGAGAAGTCGGGTCAGAGTTTCGGCCGGCCCGCATCAACTCCGCCGGCGCCACCGATGAAAGAGAAACCGAAAGCGGCGCGGGGGGACGGGCCTCTAGGGGGGTGGAGCCAGGAGGGGCGGGACCTCCTGCCACAACCTGCCCCGCCTCCTTAGCTCTGTTAAAAGGATGGGTCCCCTGCCCGGCGCGGAGCAGAGCGAGCTGCGGCCGTGGCAGCAGCACGGCTCCTCGCCCCGGAGCATGCGCGAGAGCCGCCCCGGAGCCCCCCCGCCGCCCCGCCCGCGGCGCCCCGCGCCCCGCCGCCAGGTGAGCCGGCCACTGGGCGAAGAGGGAGAGGGGGAGGGGAGGGGAGGAAAGGAGCACAGCTGGGAGGCCCGCCAACTGGCCGGCCGCGGAGGCTGCCTGGCGGGGTCGCCGCCACCACGCCCCCAGCCCCCGCCGGCCCCACCCAGACCGCCCTCGGCCCGCAGGGTACCTACCCGCAGCGTGGTTTTCCTCCTGCCTTTGCCCAAATCTACGGAACGAGGCGCCGATCCCCGTCCTGGCCAGCAGGCGGCGAGCCGTGGGCCTGGTGGCCAGAGTCGAGCAGGCTTCTCCTGGGCACCCATCCCCGCCCCCTGCTGCGACCCAAACCCCGTGCAACCTGGAGCCTGGGCTCTGCCCTCGCTGAGCCACCACCCGCCTGAAAGTGTTCCGCCGATGGGAAGCCCATTTTATTGAAGAGCCTGCTGAGGCTCAAGGGAGCCGCGCAGATTTGGAACTTACCTCAGCCCCTTAGAGCCCTACCCTTTCCCAGTGCCTTGCGGCCCGTTACCTGCCCAGCCGCACTCGCTCACTGCCTCTGTCTCCCCCATCAGCGCACCCCCGGACGCTATGGCCCACCCCTCCGGCTGGCCCCGCGTGTAGAATGGTAGCACACAACCAGGTGGCAGCCGACAATGCAATCTCCACGGCAGCAGAGCCCCGACGGTGGCCAGAGCCTTCCTCCTCCTCCTCCGCGCCCGCGGCCCCGGCGCGCCCGC